ATCTCTCCTGGCTATTCTTTGGAACTCTGCATTCAAATGGAAATATCTTTCCTTTTCTCCTTTACTTTTCGCTTCTCTTCATTTCACAGCTATTTGTAAGGCCTCCTCAGACAGCCATTTTGCCTTTTTGCATTTCTTTTCCATGGGGATGGTCTTGATCCCTGTCTCCTGTACAGTGTCACGAACCTCCGTCCATAGTTCATCAGGCACTCTGTCTATCAGATCTAGTCCCTTGAATCTATTTCTCACTTCCACTGTATAGTCATAAAGGATTTGATTTAGGTCATATCTGAATGGTCTAGTGGTTTTCCCTACTTTCTTCAGTTTAAGTCTGAATTTGGCAATAAGGAATTCATGATCTGAGCCACAGTCTGCTCCTGGTCTTGTTTTTGGTGACTGTATAGAGCTTCTGCATCTTTGGCTGCAAAGAATATAATCAATCTGATTTTGGTGTTGACCATCTGGTGATGTCCATGTGTAGAGTCTTCTCTTGTGTTGTTGGAAGAGGGTGTTTGCTATGACCAGTGCGCTCTCTTGGCAAAATTCTATTAGCCTTTAGCTATCTGTATATCTTCTTTGGAGAAATGTCTGTTTAGGTATTCTGCTCACTTTTTGGTTGAGTTGTTTGTTTTTCTGGTATTGAGCTGCATGAGCTGCTTATCTATTTTGGAGATTAATCCTTTGTTAGTTGTTTCATTAGCTGTTGTTTTCTCCCATTCTGACAGTTGTCTTTTGTTGTCTTTTACCTTGTTTATAGTTTCCTTTGCTGTTCAAAAACTTTCAAGTTTTGTAAGGTCTCCCTTGTTTGTTTTTGTTTTTATTTCCCTTAATCTAGAAGGTGGGTCATAGAGGATCTTGCTGTGATTTACGCCAAAGTGTATTCTGCCTATGCTTTCCTCTTAAGAGTTTTACAGTTTCTTGTTTTACATTTAGTTCTTTAATCCATTTTGAGTTTATCTTTGTGTATGGTGTGAGGAAGTGTTCTAATTTCATTCTTTCACATGTGGCTGTCCAGTTTTCCCACCACCACTTATTGAAGAGACTGTCTCTTCTCCATTGTATATTCTTGCCTCTTTTGTCAAAGATAAGGTGCCCATAGGTATGTGGGTTCATCTCTGAGCTTTGTGTCTTGCTCCACTGGTCTATATTTCTGTTTTTGTGCCAGTACCATACTGTCTTGATGACTGTAGCTTTGTAGTATAGTCTGAAGTCAGGAAGGTTGATTCCTCCAGCTCCATTCTTCTTTCTCAAGAATTTTTTGGCTACTCAGGGTCTTTTGTGTTTCCATACAAATTGTGAGATTTTTTGTTGTTGTTGTTGTTCTAGTTGTGTGAAAAAAGCCATTGGTAATTTGATAGGGATGCATTGAATCTGTCGATTGCTTTGGGTAGTATAGTCATTTTCACAATATTGATTCTTCCAATCCGAAAACATGGTATATCTCTCCATCTGTCTATGTTGTCTTTGATTTTTTCATCAGCATCTTACAGTTTTCTGTATACAGCTATTTTGTCTCCCTAGGTAGGTTTATTCCTTGGTATTTTATTCTTTTTGTTGCAGTGGTAAATGGGATTGATTCCTTAATTTCTCTTTCTGATTTTTCATTGTTAGTATATAGGAATGCAAATAATTTCTGTGTATTGATTGATTTTGTATCCTGTGACTTCACTAAATTCACTGATTGACTCTAGTAATTTTCTGATAATATCTTTGGGATTTTCTATGTATAGTATCATGTTGTCTGTAAGCAGTAAGAGTTTTACTACTTCTTTTCCAATCTGGATCCTTTTATTTCTTTTTCTTCTGTGATTGCTGTGGCAGTACTTCTAGAACTATGTTGAATAATAGTGGCGATAGTGGGCACCATTGTCTTGTTTGAACTAGGAACACTTTTTACTAATTGTGTATATTTTAATGTTTTTTATATATATATGTATGAATACAGATGTTGATAAAATCAAATTGAGCTTGATTATTTTTTCCATGGAAATTTTAAGTGCTTAATAACTTCATTTGTGTTCAGCTAATATCACTTGGAAACAGAAGGAAGGATATTTCAGAGATTGAAAACTAAAGAGAAAACCCTAAAATGAAAAAAAAATTTAGTTTAATTTTTTTGTGAACTAAAATAAGACTGTCATTTTAACCATGTAATTCTAATAATCAGTAAAAGCACTGTACTTGCCTATTTGTTGCCCCTTTTCGAACTCTGAGATACAGGTAAATACCTTCTATTGCTAGGCAACACTCTTGGCATATAAGAATTTTACATTTAAGAGACTTCAAGGTCTAGGACCTGGATAATTTGTAATTTTTTGCCAAAGCTCAAATTTGAGCTATTCTACCATGATGTAATACAGAAGCCAATGAATAACCTTGCTGACTACCCAGCACTCATGTTTCAGGGTGATTTTGGCAGTCTCTGTTTATCAGTTACATGCTTCATGGAGGGAGGGCGTTGTGAATTATATTTTGTAGTAGCATTTGAAATATTGGGTTCAAAAATATCCCAATAGTTTTGTGTCTTTATATAATCATAACTATAGATGTAATTTGATAGACTGTAAACTTTGTAAATTATCAATGATGAGTCTTTAAACACAAGATGACTTTTCTTTACACTCAGCAGAATCCAGAGATATCTCTTGCTATAAATGTTAACAAATAGAAATATAATGCAGGACACAAGTGTCAACTATATATATCATTTAAAATTTTCTGGTAGCCTTAGTTTTAAAAGGAAAAAGAAGGGTTAAATTAACTTTAATAATATTGTTTTTAATCAGTGTATTCAGAATATTGCAACTTGTGATTAATATAAAAAGTATCAGTGAGATATTTTCCTCTTTTTTTCATACCAGGTCTTTGAAATCTGCTATGTATTTTACACTACTGTTAGTGAGTTGGGTCTGGCTGCTTGCTACTCAAAAATCAGAATTCAAGACAAGTGTTGTTAGGAAAGAAAGTTGCTTTTTAGTCAGAATGCTGGCAGTCTGGGAAGATGGTGGACTCAGTGTCCTACAAAAACCACCTCTGAAGATTCTGCTTAGCCATGAAAGTTTTAAAGGAAAAAGGGGACATAATCTCAGTCAACTGAGATAAAGTCTCTGAGTCATTGCCATCCCCCACTGTGTGCTGGCTTGTTGAATTTTTGTGATTTTTCTTTAGATGCTCTCGTTCGTATAGTTTGTTTGCATGGATTTGTTCCTGCGATTTCTGAAGAAGAAGCTAGGGAAGAGATCTAGTCCTCTGTTACTTATTCTTCACCTCTACTTATCTGATCTATGGAAAGAACCAACAGGTTAGGCAGTGTACTGTGTCATCCAGAGATCTGATAGTTGTGCCTAAGGCCAGAGATGAGTAGAGGATGGGGCTGCCTGGCTTAAGGTTAGTGACAAGACAGAAGAGACTTCCTGTAGAGAGCTCTTTCCTGCCAAAATCTGTTTACACTACTGCACATCTCAGTTTAGACTAGTGATATTTCAGGTGCTCAGTGACTTCATGTGGGTGGTGGCTACCTCATTGGACAGTGCAGCTCCATACCTTCATTAGGTTCAGAGAATAAAAGGCAACTTTTATATGAGCCTATAAAAAAATAGAAAGGTAAGACTGTTCTAGAGATTTTAGACTAGATAGCTACTAATTTTAACTAACTACTGAATAGCTATACTTTATGATTTGTCTTAGTAAAGCTTTTTATTCAAATGGAAACAAGTATTAATTTGATGCCTAGTGTTTAAAACTAATACAAGCAGAGCTACTTTGATTAGAGTGATGGGGTTGGGTTGAGTTGAGAGATGATGAATGAGCCCTACACTCACAACTCTCAGGTCCTTGCCTGAAGATCACCCAAGCAGATACCCCATGGTCCATTTCATCTCTTACGTTTATTTCACAGAGTCAGTAAGATTAGTTTAACTACTGGTGTTGGTTTCTCATACTCAGGGCCAGCTTTTTTTCCTACCTAACCACATATTTATGTGGCTTTTAATTAAGGAGGAAAGAGAGATCACTAACAAATTGTAAATTTTTAAAGCAGAGAGACTGTCATGCTTATCTTCTTTGTATACTCAGTACCAACATTATAGGCATTTGATAGACATTCAGTATTTGTAAAATTTGTGATCTAAGAGTCTTTTTGATACCTTACAGTTTCTAAATTATTTCTATTTGTCCAATATTTTATGTGTCTGTGATTCCCCCTCCCCTCTTTGGCAGGCGTTATGATGCTACAACTTCTGGAAAAAGTGATTGAGTTGGAAAACTGGACAGAGGGGAAAGGTCTCATTGTCCGTGGGGCAAAAAATACTTTTTCTTCAGGATCTGATCTGCATGCTGTGAAAGCACTAGGAACTCCAGAGGCAAGTATTGTATGAATTATGCAGTAGATTCTATGTGTTTGTCAGCCATCTATGGCTAAGATATTTATATTTTACTTATATGGTTATTATGATGACAGCTATTCTCTAATAGCTTTCCAAGGATAAGAGTTTTTGTTTTGTATCTAAAAGATTAGCTTGTAATGGTGTGAAGTAATGGGAGAAAAATGAAGGACAGGAAGGTTAGCAGTAAAACGTCCTCTATTAAAACCAGCAAGGATGTGAATTTTTTAAGTGGAAGCCCCTTAGCATCTCATGATACAGAGTTTTGCCTGTGGTACATATATGAAATATCTAGCATGGCTTTGGCAATTGGTAGGCTCCAACAAATGCTGGGAGTTGAAACATTTGCTTTTGAATTATGGTGACAGAAAAGCAATTGGAATCATCTCTCAGTATTTGTCCTCCAAGGAAGCTGTTTTTCGTGAATTCAGCCCTCCACTAACATTCCCTAGGCAGGGAAAAAAAAAAAGCAGATGAAAGAGAGAGAGGAAAAAGGGAGAAAAATCTATCTGTTACCATTTAATGACAGATGTGAACTGTATGTAGTTAATAATGTTTTAATGTTATTGGACAGCTCTTACACCACTCTATGTAGTATAAGAATTTCTGTTTGCATAATATCTATGAGGATGGAGAAGGAAATGGCAACCCACTCCAGTATTCTTGCCTGGAAAAATCCATGGACAGAGGAGTCTGGTGGGCTGAAGTCCATGGGATTACATGACTGAGCTTGTGTGCACGAGGGTGGAGGGAGATGGGTTGGTATCAATAAACTGGTAGAACTTAAAAAAAATATATATATATATATAATATATATATATATATATCTATGAGGAAAGATCTCTCTTTTCCTAATTTTGATAGATTTATATTTGAAAGTTGGTTTCAACATTTTCTGGCAGGCAGGAGGGTGCCAGCCTAAGAACTGAGTGAGCTGCAGTTTTATAATCTAAGAGAAAGTGGAGACAGGGAGAAGACCACCATCTTCCTTATTCTTGAGGATTCCTTCATCAGTTCCTCCTCTGTGTTGGGTGGGGGATTTTTCTTGTCCCTATGTGGTCAAACTGGCACTGTCATGGTGTAGTGGAAATGAGCAAAAGGAGCTAACATATGCTAAAATATGGTAAATCATCTCAGGTTTCAGTATATCATGTTTTCTTATATTTTTGTTTTTACTGTGTATAGAGACCCACATCATAGAAATCATTAACTTACTATGCTTACTGGGCAGGATGTGGGTCTCATTCCACCTTTACTTTATAATTTAGGGGCACGTCTTATGCTTCTGTTGCATGCTTTTGCTGCTAAGGAAGCCTGTTTGGTTTCATGGTGAAGCGAAACTGCTGTCTTAAGTGATCATTAATTTACTGGCTCTCCCACACTTTGGTTTTATTTGCAATCCCCTCCTGGGATTAATTATTTAACCACTTGCTTTGTCCCTTTACTTTATCCCTATCAAGAATACTAAGCCGGCAATCTGAATATATGGAGTCTTATCCAGGCTTTACTAGTAATTTTACTATGGGGCCTGCAAGTCATTTGATTATAATTTTTCACCTCTAGAATGATTCTGTTTCTAGACATCTTATTCTGTTCATGAAAGACACTGTAAAGATAGAATGAGATACTAATGATAGATTATTGTGGGTCTGGTATAAGTCAGTGTTGGGCTCTACTCTCAGGCCTGGAAAGCCTGCACTTGCCCAGCTTCAAGACCAAAGAAAGAGCCTGGAGTCAGTGACAGCTATCAGTGGGCCAGAGGAAAGAGGGAGCTTACATGTCTGAAGCAAAGTCCTGAGGCAACACCCCACCAGCTGCAGCAGGCAGGGCTGGACAGTCTTTGCTTCATGGAAGAGGGGAGCCACTTATGAGGGGAATTAGCTTCACGTTGGCTCATTAGTTACCAGGGAAACTAGCAGATTGCCCCTCACTGCACCTTTGAGGAGAACAGTGACTTGCAGGTATGTAGAAAGGTCAGCCATGTGAGTAGGGTGTAAACGAAGCAAGCACTGGTCGAGGAAGGGATGTATAGAGAGCCAGGGAAGAGCCACCTTGAGTGGTCTGACCTTACAGTTAGATAAGAAATCATCCCTAAAAATGCGAAAGGTTATTTTGCTTTCTTCTAGTTAGAAGGTTGTTTCTGTCTCTTTAGATCATGTGGCCAGCATTTTTTTTCTGCTATATATGTAAAAACTACAAGTGGAAATGTGCTAATTGTTCACACACATATATATAGTAGGCCTGATGTAAATCAGGTAGGAAAATATCAGACTTTAAATAAGATATCACTTAATAAAGTTTATTCTTTCCAGTGAGGACCTTCTCCAGATAACTTGCTGTCTTGAATGTTAGCAGTAGAGTGAGTGCGGATTTTGATCTACGGCTGACAACTCGGGTGATGTGACCCCAGTGCTTAAATAGCACTGCAGGTGTCCATCCCTTGTAGTCACGCACATCTGCCAATATTGATTAAAAAAAAACAAACTGAAATCATGATTCTGTTTTACAGTGTGTTATTTTCAGGCCCAGAGTGGTTTTAAAATACCTTATTTCAAAATATTTTCTTGTGTAGGTGGATCCTTTATTGTACTTCTATGAAATATCATTAGTCATGGTTATAGGAAATATATAGCATAGAAATAGACAATTTGAATAAATTCTCTTTATGGATAATATTGGGCTTCCCAGGTGGCATGGTGATAGAGCATCCACCTGCCGATGCAGGAGATGTAGGAGACATGGGTTTGATCCTTGGGTTGGGAAGATCCCCTGGAAGAGGAAAGGGCAACCCACTGAAGTATTCTTGCCTGAAAAATTCCATGGACAGAGGAGCCTGGCAGACTACAGTCCATGGGGGTCGTAAAAGAGTCGGACATGACTTAGCACACACGTGTGTAATGTACATGTGTGCGTGGTGTATTTGTTGCATGATGACTTTAAAATTAACAAGAACTAGAAACAGTTTAAATAAAATTCCTGATGACTTTTTCCATTTCTCATATAGAGGTTATTTCTATATGCCTGAAAAGTAACTAGAAATGTGTAAAACTGAAATTTTAAATAGCCTTGGGATTTTTGAGGCTCATACATGTTTATGAATTAATTGCAGCTGCACGTATGAACACACCTGTCCCTCACAGCTAAGAAATTCTGAGATGCTTAGCATGACTTGAAGTTATACACAGCCTTTCTCTGAACAAAGCTCTTTTTTATCTAGCATACTTACTCTTTGTTCTCAGACATGTGTCACTGCATCTGCTTGTTTGGTTAATTCACTCTTCTGAGGATGGATAAGTAAAATAGATGGTGATTTTAGTAATTGGATTGTTTTTCCTTCAGATTATTAATAAGGTACTCGAAAGTGATTATTAGATGCCTTTTTTTGAAAAAGATAATTATGTTGATGTTTTTGCCACTGTGTTTTTTCAAAGCTTTGAAAAACATTTTGTTAATGAAAATTACCAGATACTAACAAAAGTAGACTTGTTGACTGAAAGAAGATGGGCAACCTAGAAGTTGCGAGTTAACGTTTTATTCTGCGAACATTCTTAGGACTTCAAACCTAAGGGGAGACAGTATATCATAACCCTGAGAAATTGCTCTGATGCTCTGAAGGGGAGCCAAGATATATGGGTGTGTTTGCAACAAAGGGCAAGTAGTCAGGAGATTATTGTTAACTAAAGAAAGCCAGATGTCTGAAGTTAAGGAATTCAGCTCTTTTCTGTGTCCAGGAAGGTTCAAGAGTCTGGGCTCACTGAAATCATCTCCTTTGGTATGTACCTCAGCTCTAGGGGCCAGTGTCCTGTTTTCTCATCCTGAGTTCCCTCAAGCTGCCCTGATGGGAGTGGCTGCAGTCCGATGACTACTTGATGGGGGTGCATTCTTTGTTTCCATTCTAAGCTCCCTTAGGCGCTCACCATCAGGGTTGACTGTGATCGCTGATGACTGCTCCATCCTTTATTTACCTATAGGATAGGCAGTATTTTATTTTTCAGACTAATATGTTGAAACCCTCCTGTACTTAGAATGAACGATCATCAACATTGTATTTGCTTATCTATCGTTAGTTTTTTTTTTCCTTTAGGACCTGGCCTCAAGAGGTTGATTTCATTTTGATACCCTTTGTTTAATGAGCAGGGAAAAAAGCTCTCATTGTTCCTAGTGAAAGAAAGTGAAAGTCACTCATTCATGTCCAACTCTTTGCCACCCCTATGTTCTATATAGTCCATGGAATTCTGTAGGTCATAATACTGGAGTGGGTAGCCGTTCCCTACTCCAGGAGATCTTCCCAAGCCAGGGATTGAACCCAGGTCTCTCGCATTGCAGGTGGATTCTTTACTGTCTGGGCCACCAGGGAAGCCCCTAATTGTTCCTATTAGACAGTTAATCCTTCATTAAGATGGTCCAAGCAGAGAGATGAATTAGCATAACACAAGCTTTAGCCCTGAAAAGTTATGGAATAGAAAAAAGGAATAAAAGAGGAAAAAAATCTAGTGCAGTATTAACCCATTTCTAAGATGTGAGTTGATGCTGCAGATGTTCTGCAGACTCTGAGAAGTCTTTTTTCAGAGGACAGAAATAATAAAAATCCAGCTGAAGCTTTAAGGTGGGGGGGTGGGGCGGGGAAAAAAACCTTCTTACTCTGCAGTGAATGGGTTTAATATCTTGAGGAAAAGTTTGGCCTTTTAGAAACCTGTATATTCTCTGTCTGCCTTGAAGATAGTATACTTCTTTGTTGAATGACTTCCCTTGTTAAGTTTCTGCCAGTCTGTTGCCCTCTATTTCTCTGTTGCCTGAATTTTTGCAGCAACCTCAAAGTTCTTGTCTAACTTCTTTGCTTTTGCTGTGATTATTGTACAGTTCCATTGTAGCCTTATTGCTTTGTAGACAAGCTGTTATAAATTTCTCAAAACCCTTCTGTGTATTTTGAAGAAATTAGTAAATTCATACAATAGGCACTTTAGGGAAAAAAAGGAAGGCTCATTTATGGTTCTCTTACTGGAAGGGGGACCACTTCCAGGGCCCAAGAGTGAGCTCCTGTCTAACACTTGGAAATGAATTGTCCAAGGAGACATGCATGCTGACAAAGCAGAATGCTTTATTGGGAAGGGATGCCCGGGCAGAGAACAGCAGGGTAAAGGGACCCAGGAGGACTGCTCCGCCACATGCTTTGTCTCAGGTTTTATTGGAACTGAAAGTTAGCTTTCCAGGTTATCTCTGGCCAGTCATCTTGCTTGTATCCATATTTGGTCCAATTCCTGGCAGCACATACATCTCTCAGGCTCGATGGTGTCCGGCAAAAGGATTTCCGGGAGGTTGGCAGAACATATTATGGGCTGCCATACTGGTTTTTACTACTCATTGATTGCCTTTGTTTTATGAATCAACGTAGTTCTCCACCTCAAATTCATCCGAGTCAGTTAACTTCAACAAGCACATACTATATGCAGAATGTTGATTTCACTGCTAGCTTCTGAGGATAAAGAAGGCGTTTTGTCAGCCGCAAATTATATAGCAAAGGCCATCTCCTCTTCTCCTCCATAAAGCCTCCTTAACTACTCCAACCCAGTGCATTATTTCTTATTTGCCACTATTCTCAGCTTGTTTAGCATTTCTCAGAATACTTTATGTACTATACCTTGATGCATGATGCATTTCTTTTTTCTCACAAGATTTTTGAAGACTGGGAACCAGGGCCACATTCTACTGATCACGTTCCCTATCTTTATCTTGTATAGATGATGTAACTAATTATAAATCTAACCACAATGTATACAATCTATAAATTCTCTAGTTAAGTTAGAAAAATGAAAATACTACAGAAACACAAAGGAGAAAGCTGTTACTGTGGGATTTAGAAAATCTTGTTGGAAAAATCTTTGATTGAGGCATTCCTTGAAATAGGTAGAGAAAAGGACCAGCTGTTCCAAATACTGGGAATGACATGAGCCAAGACATAGAACAACAGTAAATGTAAGGTGTTAAAGGAATGGCAAATAGGTTGTTGCAGAAGAAGTTGGGATCCTTGACTGAAGGGTACTGTAGTCAATAAAGTTGGTAAAATAGTTTGGGATCAATTCTTCCCAAGGAATTCTGACCTTATTTTATTGGTGATATGAAATTATCATCCTATAAGAAGGTTTTTCAGGCAGGATGCAAGATATATTTCAGAGGAAAAAGAAATTAAATACAGAGAGGCCAGTTAGGAAACAAGGCTGTTGTGATAATCTAAGCATGAGTAACAAGTTCAAACTTGTGAAAATAGAAGAAGGGATTTAAATTGGAAATATTTCAAAAGAAGGTTTGAGGGGACATGCTTGGTAACTCAGCAAGCACAGGAAAACTGTGAAATGGAAGAGTTAAAGATAATACCAGGAATTCTGAACCTTTTGAACTAGAAAAACCATTCCTGTTAATTCAGAACTCACTGTGATCTATTACAGAGCATCTAGGTACATTTTCATCTTTCCAACCATTTTCTAAATCAAATAGAACAAGTTTTTAAATTTTTCCATTGCTTCCTTATTGTGTAAGAAAACTGAAGCTCACAGTTTTGACTTACTCAGGTTTATGTTTTTATTATGTGGTAATACTTGGGTTATTATGTGGTAATACTTGGGTTAAAAGTCAGCTTTTTCATAACCAGTTGGTTTTGCCATGCCAAATTTGAAATATTGGCAGAATGTGAAATTTCTTAGCAGGTTTTGGGACTCTAAAGGAAACAGTAGTTGAAGCAATGGGAATGGATGAGACTTCCAAGGAAGAAATTGTAGATAAGGGAGAGAAAGAGAATCATGGATTGGATTTTTGGTAACATGTATTTAGCTGAATTAAAAAGAGACAAAGAAGAAAACTTAGAATATAGTAATCAAAGAAATAGGAAGAGGATCGGGAGTTGAAGTGTTGCTAGAAACTGAGACTATCAAAATGAAAATACTGATCAAAGGAAGATGCTACATATGTTATGGTGATACAGAAGGAGATGAGAATAAGGAAAAGCCATTTAATTTAACAAATAGGAGATTGTTAGAAACCTTTGAGGAAAGTCTTTTGAGAGAAGGCTGAAGACCACATTATACTTGGTTTAAGAAAGTATAAGGGTAAAAAGAAGAGGCAATGAATTTATACTACTTTTAAGAAATTTGTTTTTTATATGTTTATATTCTTAGGGGATCAGAGTTTGGGATAATAGGTGGGTATGTCTTATGCCTTGTCCTTCCAGAGTACCCTGGGTAGAACTCGACACTTTTCTGAGACCTGACTCTTCCACCTGAGTTCATGGTAATACCTCATACAAAGCTGAGTTCAAAGAACCCTTGAAGAGCAACACAATAAATACAGTATCATTTGCATTTCAGACAGCTTCAAAGAGTTTTTAAATGAAAATCTCATTTTAAAAATTTCATTATTTTTGGCTCTATTACTTTCTAAATCCTAAAAGTGTTTTTTTTTAATTTCTTGTGTGAAACGTTGACATTGTATCTTTGTGTTTATTCTTATTTAAAGGATGGAGTGGCCTTATGCATGTTCATGCAAAACACCTTAACACGATTTATGAGGTAATGTTTCTTTGTTTTTAAAACATGATTTCTTTGCTTTCTTCTCTGTAACCACCTCTTTGTTTTTTCAGTCTTCTAACTTGACTGAGGCTTTCAGTGGCTAAGTCAAAGATCTCTCTTGGTAAATGTCACATGGTACTTGAAAGTATATGGGTTGTTTTCAAATATCTTTTGATAGTGATTTTTAGCATCATTTCACAGTGGTAAGAGAACAGACTTTGATTTTGATACCTTTAGACCATGAAATTTTTGCACCTTGTTTTATGTCCCTGGATATGTTCCAGGGTCTCCTAGTTTATAGTTTATGAGAACTTGAATAGAATTTGTATCCTCCTGTTGTGTGAAAATTGTATTAATCTTAATTATGTTGAATTGGTTCATGGTGCCTTTCAGGTCTACTCTATCCTTCTACTTTTCTGTATATTCAGTCCATTAATTTTTGAGAGTTTGATATTGAAACTCCAACTAAAAATCTTTATCTATTAAAAAATAATTGTAATATATAGTGGAACTGTATGTAACTTTGTTCTGTATTTTCCAAGTCTCCTATAAATGTGTTACATTTTCATAACTTAAAAAATAAAAAAGGCAATAATTAAAAAAAGAACACAATTTCTAAAAAACCCAAAATAACTATTTTCTATGCTTTCCACTAGTTAAAAAATAGTCACTGATAGTCTATTCATATTTAGAATATATGAATTCAATATTCATATATTCTGGTTCGTGTTTATTCTAATGACGGACGATTTATTTTTGCCATCAAGGACAGTCATATAATTAGTTGTTGGTGAAGTACATACAAATATTTTAAAAATAAGAGCCTTGAGATGTAAAAAGAGTTTAAGACTTAGCTCTTTTCCCTGAAGAGTTTGTATTTCATTCTAAGCTGGCTATATTTAAGTATAAACATGTGAAAGTTAAATACTGATACTAGAGCAGAAAAGACACATAAAGATAACCTAATATTCAAAATTAGTAGAATGTATAGTGAAGTGATCTGTATCCACAAGGAGAGAGAAAAAGAGTTACCAGTTGGAGAAAGCTTTTACATATTTCTGAGAAAGATGGATTCACTTTGCACCTAAAAGAGGAAGAAAAGGGAAAAAAAAATTTGGGTCCTGCCATTATGCATTTGGGGTTACAAACTATGACATGATTGAGGTGATTAGCTTTCTACTTCCATATTCTGAATGTAAAAAAAGTTAAAATTCAGGGAAACTAAGGAAATACATACTTGTTTAGCACACTTATTAATTGGACATCAATGTATTTTTGTTGCTCTTTATATATGAGAGTCTGGGGAGAGTGAATACTGTCTTCATTGTCTTACTTCCCGTTCACCTGCTTCTTACCACATTTGACGTTTTCTTAAGTAAATCTTAGAAGTTTTTTTCTTTAGATAATTCTTTTTATTTGGAAGCAGTGTGTGTTAAGAAATGTGCAATTTCTTTAGACCTGCATCTTTTCATTTTGGTTAGACCCACAAAAAATTATATATTTTTGAAACATTTTAAATTCACCTTTTAGTACACAGTTCTGCAAAGTGGGTCTTTGCAAACATGAAAGGAAAAGACTTTTTACTTCAGAACCATTCTTTTATGTAGAATCAGTCTCTGGATCATTTGATGAGGAATGAAAAGATTTTTGATAGGAACCTTCCATACCACATTTCTTCCTTTTTGATACAGCCTTAATTTTCCCATCTGTAATTTGATATCAACAAAAATGGACTAAGACTGAATAATTCCCAATTGTCAGGCGCTTAGAAGTTCCAGGAGCTCTCTACAAGCTTGTTTGTTAGTCACTCAGTCATATCCAACTCTTTGGACCCCATGAACTATAGCCTGCCAGGCTCCTTTGTCCATAGAATTCTCCAGGCAAGAATATTGCAGCGGGTTGCCATTGCCTTCTCCAGGGAATTGTCCCTATGCAGGGATCAAACCTGGGTCTTCTGCACTGCAGGCAGACTCTTTACCTTGTGAGCCCCCAGGGGGGTCTGTATACAGGCTTACCTCGGAGACATTGCAGTTTGGGTTTCACACCGCCACAACAAAGTGGTATCAGAATAAAGCAAGTCACAGAATTTTTTGGTTTTCCAGTGCTTGTGAATGTTGTATTTATACTCTACTGTAGTCTATTAAGTATGTGATAGCATTATGTCTTAAAAAATGTACATATTAATTTAGAAACACTTTATTGCTAAAAAATGCCAATCATCATCTGAGCCTTCAGTGAATCTTAATCTCTTTGATGGTGTAGGGTCAGTATTAATGGCTGCTAACTGATCAAGGTGGTAGTTGCTTAAGGTTGGGGTAGCTGTGGAAATTTCTTGAAATAAGACAACAGTGAAGTTTTTAACTTCACTTGACTCTTCCTTTGATTTCTCTGTAACATCCAGTGCTGTTTGACAGCATTTTACTCAGAGGAACTTCTTTCAAAATTGGAGTCAATCTTCTCAAACCCTGTGGCAGCTTTATCAAATACGTTTTCTTAATATTTAAAATCTTTTGTTGTCATTTCAATAGTCACAACATCTTCACCAGGAGTAGATTCCATCTCAAGAAAACACTCTCTTTGCTCATCCATGAGAAGCAACTCCTTGTCTGTTTATCATGAGATTACAGCAAAATTAGTCACATTTTCAGGCTCCACTTCTTGTTCTCTTGCTGTTTCCACCACATCTGCAGTTATTTCCTCTAATGATGTCTTGAACGCCTCAAAGTCATCCAAGAGGTTTGGAATCAGCTTCTTCCAAACTCCTGTTAATGATGATGTTTTGAGTTCTTCCCACAAATCACAGATGTTTTTAATAATGTCACCAGGCTCCTCTGCCCATGAAATTTTCCAGGCAAGAATACTGGCATTGGTTGCCATTTCTTCCTCCAGGGAATCTTCCCGACCCAGGAATCCAACTCCAGTCTCCTGGGTCTCCTGCATCACAGACAGATTATTTACCTGCTGAGCCATTGGGAAGGCCCCAACAGCATCTTGAATAGTGAATCCTTTCCAGAAGGTTTTCAGTTTACTTTCTCCAGATCCATCAGAAGAATCACTCTCTGTGGAAGCTAAAAGACTAATGAATTTTATTTCTTAAATAATGAGACTTGAAAGTTAAAATTACTACTTGATCCACAGGCTGCAGAATGGATATTATATTAGCAGGCATGGAAAACAGCTTTTATTTCACTGTACACCTTCATCAGAGCTCTTGGGTGACCAGTGCATTTCATTGTCAATGGGCAGTAATAGTTTGCAAGAAATCTGTTTTTTCTGAGCAGTAAATCAGCAGTGGACTTAAAATATTCAATAAACCACGTTGTAAACCACGTTGTAAACTGATGTGCTCACCCAGCCTTTGTTGTTTCATTTACATAACACTGAGTAGACTGAGCATAATTCTTAAGAGCCCTCGGATTTTCATAGTGGTAAATGAGCATTTAATTTCAACTAGTAACGAGCTGCCCCTAAAAAGAGAGTCAGCCTGTCCTTTGAAGCTTTGAAGCCAGGCATTGACGTCTCTCTCTAGCCGTGAATTTCAGTCCTAGATGGCATCTTCTAATATAAGGTTGTTTTGTCTGTGTCCTCACCTTCGTGAATTATCTTCGTTAGATCTTCAGGATAACTTGCTGTAGCTGGCATCTGGTCTGCGTCAGCACCTGCTGCCTCACCTAGCACATTTATGTTATGGAGATGGCTTCAACCTCTGCTAGCTTCAGACTTTTCTTCTGTGTCTTCCACATCTCTCTCAGCCTTCATAGAACTGAAGAGAGTTAGGACCTTGCTCTGGATTAGGCTTTGGCTTAAGGAAATGTGGGTAATTTGATCTAATATCTGAACCAATAAGACTTTCTTCCTATTAGCAATAAAGTTGTTTTGCTTTCTTATCTTTCCTGTGTTCACTGGAGGAGCACTGTTAATTTCCTTCAAGAACTTTTACTTTGCATTCACAACTTGGCTAACTGTTAGCCAAAGCCTAATCTAGCACAATAAGTGAAAGTGAAAGTTGCTCAGTTGTGTCCGACTCTTTGCAACCCCATGGACTATATACAGTCCATGGATTTCTCCACGTCAGAATACTGGAGAGGGTAGCCTTTTCCTTCTCCAGGGGATCTTCCCAACCCAGGGATTGAACCCAAGTTTCCCACATTGCAGGTGGATTCTTTACCAGCTGAGCCACCAGGGAAGCCCAGTAAAGTGAAGTGTAATAAAATGAGGTGTGCTTGCATTACACAGAAACAACTGTTTATTTGGAAGAAAGTTAATATGTCTATAGTTTAAAATAAATAATGATTTGGAGAGGTATGTTGATCAGTTTGGGGCTTCCCTGGTGGCTCAGAACAGTAAAGATGGCAGTGCAGGAGACCCAGGTTTGATCCCTGGGTCAGGAAGATCCCCTGAAGAAGGGAATGGCTACCCACTCCAGCATTCTTGCCTGGAGAATTCCATGGATAGAGGAAGTTGGCAGGCTACAGTCCATGGGGTGGCACAGAGTTGCACGACTTAGCTACTAACACCTTCACTTTGACAAGTTTGCATATCATTTAGTATGAATTATTATATCTTCATTATTAGACTTTTGCTTCTCATGGTTACAGGCTAATGGTTCTACTGTACTTTGAGGTGGGCTTGTTTTTATAAACAGATCAGTAATTTTGTTTCTACTATATCTCAAGTTTTTAAAATACTTGTAGATTAATATCAAAATTTAAAATATTAACATCCATTTTTCCTTCTTCCTTCAATATACAGACTTCCTTTAATAAGTGTTGCACTGGTTCAAGGTCGGGCATTGGGTGGAGGAGCAGAAGTTACTACTGCGTGTGATTTCAGGTAGGGTAAACATTGTATTGCTCCTTGCACAAATATAATTAACATGTGTGAAATTTATTTCTTTGCCCGAATTATAGGTATTTTATATATTTTTAAATAGGATGATCGATGAGCAAATATTTTCTTTCTGCCAATCATATCATTAAAGTAGATAATCTTAATCAGTCTAATGTAACTCCATAATTACTTCATTGCTGTGCATTTCAGAAAGTTAACAAAACAAAATGATTTTGAAAGAAACAAATCCATATTAACAAAGTCCCTGGGGAATGAAGCCGAGGAAATACATGAAACTTTAAGAGTCACAGGAATTATACAAGAAAAGAACTAAAAAATAAAACCAAAGAAATAAAGAGAACGGGGAAAGGGTCTGCCTAAGTATTCCTCTTACTAATACAAGAGGTTTTCTCAGACCCTGTCTCTACTGTGATTTGTAGAAACTTTGTGGGGAATTTGGGCTGATTAGAGAATTCATTTAGAGAAAATTATTTGGTACCAATTAACCCTTTAATCCTAGGATTCTTTTTAGTATTGGATGGCTGTACTTTAGGAGAAGGGAATGGCAATCCACTCCAGTTTTCTTGCCTGGAGAATTCCATGGATGGAGAAGCCTGGCGGGCTACAGTTTGTGGGGTCGTAGAGTCTGATACGACTGAGTGACTGACACACGCAGCTGTACTTTATAGGAATGATAGAGTTTTTGTAAGGCTTTCTATATTTTGGTTTTGTGTGTATAAAACATAAATGTCAGTTTAATGACTTGCTACAAAATAGGAAGCTATGTAACCATCTTATAGGTCAAGAATTAAAACATTATCAGCATTCCTGAACTCCCTAAGGCATAACCCCTTCATTTCCATCTGTAAGAAAGTATTACCCTAAATTTTATAATTGCTTTCTCATTTTCCTTTATAGTTTTATAAGTTAACTATTCTATAACCAATATATTCTATTTATTTTCCTTTTGAACTAAATATAAATAGCATACTAATAGAAATACTATGAGGAAAGATTCAGTTAGCTAATTTATGCAAAAGAGGTAACTTTTTTCAATTTATGATTCAGGTTTCAGTTTATAAGTTGAAACATGTCACTTTGTAGTCAAATAAATTGAGATTTTAAAATAGTTTGGGTGTATAAGACAAATTACAAAGATTCCAGTCTCTTTGAAAACTGTGCTGAAGTTCCTTTAGTTGTGTCTGACTCTCTGTGACCATATGGACTGTAGCCTGCCAGGCTCCTCTGTCCATGGGATTCTCCAGGCAGGAACACTGGAGTGGGGTGCTATGCTGTACTCCAGCGGGTCTTCCCGACCCAGGGATTGAACCTGCAGCTCCTGTATTACACGCAGATGCTTTACCTTTGAGCCACCGCCACCTGGAGAAGCCCGTTTGAAAACTAGTACTTGCTAATTGGGGAGGATTCTTGTATGCAACAAAAGCTGGTCATTTCACATGACACTGCCCTCTGCTGTCATCAGTGCAGATTGCATTCAGCTCAGTTCAATCACTCAGTTGTGTTTGATTCTTTGAGACCCCGTGGACTGCACGCAGCACACCAGGCCTCCCTGTCCATCACCAACTCCTGGAGCTTACTCAGACTCATGTCCATTGAGTCAGTGATGCCATCCAACCATCTCATCCTCTGTTGTCCCCTTCTCCTCCCACCTTCAGTCTTTCCCAGCATCAGGGTCTTTTCCAAGGAGTCACTTCTTTGCATCAGGTGGCCAAAGTATTGGAGTTTCAGCTTCAGCCTCAGTCCTTCCAGTGAACATTCAGGACTGATCTCCTTTAGGATGGACTGTTTTGATCTCCTTGCAGTGCAAGGGACTCGCACATGTCTTCTCCAACACCACAGTTCAAAAGCATCAATTCTTCAGTGCTCAGGTTTCTTTATGGTCCAACTCTCACATCCATACATTTCTACTGGAAAAACCATAGCTTTTATTATACGGACCTAATTCCAGATTCTATCAGGAAGCTACATTTCATTCTGTGAGGAGGAAGGAGTTATATTGGCTTTATGGACAATATGAGACTAAATTGAAAATGTGTGTGAAAGGATTAAATGCTTTTCTCGCTTTACCCTGAAATAAAGGTACTTATGAAATATATCATTTAAATATATAATTATATAATATATAAATATAAAGTATATATTTAGATATAATATATTTAAAGAATCCTAAGCTATATGTAAGTATACATTATTACACTTAAAAATCCTCTACATGAAAGTAAGTGAAAATTAAAACTTTATAGATGTACTCTCTAACAGAGTCGTGTGCTTATCTTTAAGCATTTGCTAGACTTTTGTTTCATCCTTTATACTCATTCCTGATCTGTGTTTCGGTGGAGTTAGGGTTCAGGACAAAAGGCAAAATCACAGAAAAAATAATTAAAGATTACTTAGTCCTTTAATACTATGTTTGCTATGTTTTTCTATAAATGAAGTGTCTTATGTCCTAAAACCTCATAAAATTCTGAGTTTTTTTTGATTATGAGAAATCTGAGGGTACTACCCTCATCAGATATATTCAGTATCATAAACAAGATACAGTCACTTTTCCATGAAGACATATTCATTTGTGGATCAACTACTTGGCTTGTATAGATCCTCATATTAAGCTGCATTCAGTAGAGTCATTCATTAAACATATGTTTATCACACATTTATGCTAGCTTTGGCGCTGCCATTCAAGAAAGTTGTGCGTTTTGATTTTTTGTTTAGTATTTTTAGTAATACAGTTTTATTACATTTTATAAAATTGTTGGTTCACAACTTACAAGAAGTTTAAAAAAACATAGAAACTGATCCTTCACAATAGAAGTGTGAAAACACTCTCTTAGACTATTCAGCTCTTTTAAATGTACACACTCAATACAAGAGTTCTTAAAAGTAAAGGGTAGTGGAGAGTCTTGTATAACTGAAGTACATTCCTAACCACTAGTTATAAGTTAGTGATGAATCAGTATAAATTACTCTAGCTGATCTTCCACCTAACTTTATCATTGCTCTGTTGATTATTTTCTATAACAAACTGTAAACTATTTCAGGAGATGAGAAATACTTTTTTTTTGAGAAATACTTTTAATATGAATATTCCTAATAAATGAGCTTATACAGCATTCCAGCATTACCCCCCTCCTTGCCCCAAAACCCTTTAAGCACCAGCTGATAATACATGTAATAAATTAATACGTTAGAAGCACTCAGATCTACATGACATATATAGACTCTTAGACTGAATTGCCTCCAGTTGAGTCACAATTTTCATGTAAAACTTGCTTAGAGAAAATGGCTTTGAAAAAACATTTTCTACAGAAATGGTATGGATCTAACAGAAAAAAAAAAAAAAGAAAAAACATTTTCTAAAGCTGGTAACTTAAAAATTGGCATTCCGCAGTGCTCAAAAACTCGTCATTCAAACATTATGTTTCTCTTTAGTGACAATATTGATGAGGAAATGAAAAGCTAGAACCGTGATAAAATCATCTGCTTCTGACTTTTAAATTTGTCTTGATTAAATGAAACACAAATTAAGAAAATATGTATTTGAATATTAGTTTTCTATTGCAGCCATAACAAATCACCACAAATTTAGTGGCTTATAACAGCACCCATTTATCTCACAGATGCATAAGTTGGAAGTCTGGCTGGGCCGAACTGGCTTCTCTAAACCTGGTCACGCAAGGCCCAAGTCAGTAGGTTGACCGGACTGAGCTTTAAGGACTCGGGGGAGCGTGCACGTCCAGGCTCATCCTGGTCACAGCTGGCAGAATCCACAGCTGGCACTTATAAGACTGAGGTCTCTGTTTTTCTGTCAGCATGCCAGCCAGGGGTCAGTCTTCACTCTTGGAGGATGCCTGTATTCCTTCTCATGTTTTCCATGTGACCCCCTTCAGCAGTGGGGGGATTAAGTTCCTTTCACACTTTAAATCTTTCTCACTTTTCCCTCTGCTGCATCTCTCTGACTCCAACTGGAGAAAGTTTTCTGCTTTTAAGAGCTCTCTGGTTAGAATGAGCCCACTCTAATGCCTCTATTTTTATTTATATATATATGTGTGTGTGTGTGTATATATACATATAACCTTAATTAGATCTGCACAGTCCCTTTTATCATGTAAAGTAACGTATACACAGCTTCCTGGGATTAGGGCCTGGACATCTTTGTGGGACCATTCTACCTCTGTCGCAAGGGCTTGTCATAGAGAATATAGTTGTCAAGTTTTTTTTTTTTTTGCTAACTTTTATATTCCTATTTGATCACCGATTAAAATTGGTAACTTTGTTACCCTAAGTTACCTTTGTGAACTGCATCTTTTTAAACTTGTTTAGATACACCAAATTGATAAAGGTTCATTGTTCCAAAAATTACTTAATGTGTTATTATATTATAGTTTCTTAGATTGGTTTCAAGCTCAAGATCCTAGAGTGTGCTTTAGGAGGTACTTAGAACACTCATTCCTTGATTCCCCTTGTCTTATTCCCTTTCGTTCAACAAAAAGAAGGGGGTGGGAGAGGCAAGGGGAAAGGAAAGAAAATCTCTCAGAAATATCCTCGAAAATAGAAAATGACAAACTCAGACTGCTTGAGTTTTCACCATCAACTTTTGGCAGTCAGAAACATGTGAACGGTTTAATATCTTGTCTGTTATCCAATTTTTGCTACTTAGTTCGGTATAAGAGAGAAATTGGAATTGTGTTTTTGGTTTGAAATTACGGTCAGCCCTCTGTATCTGTGGGTTTCAAATTCAAGATTTCAACCAAGGATTGAAAATACTCTGGAAAAAAAATTCCAGAAAATTTCAAAAAGCAAAACTTGAATTTGTCATGTGCTTGCAACTAACTGAATTAGGTATAAGTAATCTAGAGATATTTAAACTATATGGGAGAACGTGTACAGTTTATATAAAAATACTGTACCATTTTGTATAAGGAAATTAAGCATCTGAAGATTTTGATATCTGTGAGGGATCCTGGAACCAGTTGTGGAATGGA